CACGGCACCGGAGTCTGTGTTTGGTATATGTGAGAGATAGGGATTCACAGTGGATGGGCAAAATAGGCAATGTTTATTGCCCGGAAATCCGAAGACACCCGAACTCTCACACGGATACCCAAGCCATCGTAGCTTTGTTGCAGTGATTGGTCCTGGCCGCGTCTAGCAGCTTAGCGCAAGACCCTCTCCTCAAACCCCAAGCCCCTGTACTCGAAAGCACCACGACGCCGGTGGGCAACACACTCTGGAAGAGAAGAGAGAAGAAAGCTTCAGTACCTGTCTGGATGTCCAAGCACCAAGAATAACTGTAGCAATGTCGGTAGTGATGCTAACACCGCCGGAAGCAGCAATAATGAGAAGACAAAACCTTACCATCGAACAGTAGGTTCAGCATCAGCCGACTCACGTGCGTTGCTGTGTTAGTATCTTCGCCGGCTGCACCTGACGGTTTAGGTTTCCGGGTGTTAGAGCTTCGTGATGCAGAGCCCGAAGCCTTTCATGCAGGCGAGCCCCCAGACGACGAACCGTTTCGAGGCTTGCAATCTGCTCTTTGGTTCGGGTTTTTCTTACCCGGCATGCTGAATCATAACTGGGCTTTGGAGTACCATACTTTAATACTTTTTTCTTAAAGGAACCCTTATGAAATTCAAGTATATACATTTTCCTCCCTGGTTACTTAAAAGCCCAGATAGTGCAGGGACCCTGATTAAAAGGAGACCCTGGCCATATAGCCCCAGAATAGTAGGATCCATCCAGAAGCCTGATAACGACCCGGGGTTCGTTCCTACATTTCCCTACCTTGAACTACCAAGACCTTCTTGTTTATAGCGCTGGTGGCTTATGATAAACCCCAAAGGCACTGAGAGTAACAGGTCTTAAAGGTTACGGTTGCAGAGTCTACAGCCTATGGGTTGCACATCTTGGGGCTACGGGCCTCTAGGATTCAACGGTGACGGCTTGTAGGATTACGTGGACCCTAAGAAACCTACCTTTCTTCGATTCCTTATAGTTTTTACTTTTTTACATAAGTCCACAGCAAAGTAGGTTCTTTAGTCTTTAGGGCTTATAGGTGAGGCTTGAGGATACGGGGGCGGTGGGGTTCCAAGTGCCCGACATTCTGAACTCTGGAGTCCGGCAATCTCTTCATATTCGGTTTGAGGATGAAAGCTTCTAGGGTTTAGGGTTTCTGGGTTTTGGGTTTAGGGTTTCTGGCTTAGGGGTTTCTGGGTTTTGGGTGTTTTTTGTTCGATGTGTATGTCTCCGTTTGTTTCGGTGGAGTCATGCTGAAGGCTCTGTGGCTTCCTTAGGGGTTAGGGTCTTATTTACAGTGTCTCAGGTCTGGGATGTTGCGGTTTCGCTTTACAGTTGACGGTTTAGGGTTTAGGGTTTAGGGTTTAGGAAGTTTTTTGTGAGTCTGGGTGGCTGGTTCACCTTCGGCGGTATCTCCCGACTAGCTGTGGGATCTCCAAGTGATCGGGCCGGCAAGAAGCATCGGCATAAACCTACACAGACATTGAGGGCCGCTGTCAATCTCCAACGCTGTTTTTTTTCACCGTGCATCCTGCAACGCCCGAAACAGCAAACAAACCTTCTGAGATCGAGACAAACCTATGCGAATAGCATGCAAACCACTCGAATAACTCGTAGAACATCGGGGCAGACAGGTGCAAAGCGTGCATGAGAATCAGAATGAACTCTAAAAGCCTTCGACGCCGAAGCGGCAGGCAGCACAGAGTGGCATCGCTGATTCTTGGCTAGCTTTTGTTGCATAGCATATCAGGCTCAGGGCTCGGTGTTTTATAGGTGGCCTTGGGAGTCGGAACCTGGTTAACAAACCCTGGGGCTATAACCCCAAAATAGTAGGGTTTACGTAAGGAGCCCTAATAAAGGCCCAAGGTTTTTAAATCAGGTTCCTACATTACACTGCTCCACCAGCCTTGGGGGGAAATTTTCCCTTGGCACTGCGGGCTGTGATCATCGAGTTTCGAGGCTGTGTGCAGAGGTTCTCACATAGCTTTGACAATCCAAAGCAACCTTAAGCCTTAAGCCTGTACCCCAATGCCTGGAGATGCTTAAGCACTCTGTCCCAGGAGGCTGTTGGATTCTCGAACCAGGCTATTCAGATCTGGTCAATAGACGCACCAGGGTTCCGTGCCATCACAGACCACGAAGCACTTGAAAATTACTTCTCATTTTCAATATAACTCATATTACCCAATATCATCTGACATCATCATCGAATATAACCAAATCCATCCTAACACTGCACTCTAACAAATTCAATGGAATCGAACTTGAGCTTCATCATCTAATTGCTATCTAATGTATAGCCCATCATATAATGTCATATATAATCAACCCTGAGTACGCGAAGCTCTGAGAGAATCACACTTCTTGAGGCCCAGCCCTTGCGATTCGGTATCCGAAGCCCTGTACTGTACCCACACCCGAACCCAGAACCCTGTACCCGAAACCTACGGTTTCTGGCCTGGGGTTTACTGGGCCCTAAAATTTCTAGACCCTCAACCCAAAAACGCGGAGCTCTACAGCCAGAGCCAAAACCCTAAACCGTAGATCGTACACCCTAAACCAGACAACCTTGACCCAAAGCCCTTAAAAGGTCAAGTTCATCTACGCCGGGCTCGTTTGCGGCACCCCGTTCGGTGCTCTCACCTTCTCCACAGATGCTTGTCAAGTGAAGCTGTGGTGTGAGGGGTTTAGGGTCTGGGGTTTAGGATCGAGGATTGAAGGCTTCAGGTTTGAGGGTTCAAACATTGCTCGCCCCAAACAGATAGGCAAATACTACCTGTGCACAGAGATTCTTAGCGAAAGGGACGACAAGTCTTGTGAGCCCGTGCGTGGACAGACTTCCCGGTCTGTCGCTCGGAAGTCGACACGTCCCTGCTTCAGGTAAGTTGCAGCCACAAGGATTGATGTCTTCTGGTGTGCCCAGGAGCCCTTTCTGCCTTTCCTATCGCTGGCTTTGGCCGAGCTGGTTCTTCTGACACCTGGCTGCTGGTGTTTAGTTTGCATGGCGGGGGTTTGAGCCAGACATACACTGCAGCATTATTGCAGATAATCGGACAAGGGAGAGCTGTCGCTCGCGGCACGCTGCACATGACGCACGGGCGGTTACACAGCAGGCTTCGCAGGCGGATCAGGATGTGCGTGTCGTCCTCCTCTCCGTCATCAGCTTCGTCTCCTCATTGTACTGCCATCCTCATCCTCATCAGTCATCACCAGTGCTGCCGTCGTCTGAAACAGCTGCAACAGTACCTTCATCGTCGCGATCATGCCCCAGCAAAACAGTGACCAACATGGCAACAGTCATTACAAGAAATGGTCGGGAGAAGCTTCCCTTCGGTCACTGCTCACGGCGATCACTAGCTTATCGCAACTCGGGACTTGACCACGGATACCATGCCCAACTGAGATGCATGATTGCCCTGGCTTGAAAAGTTCAAGATATACTTCAATAGCATTGTTGTGCACCTGCACGAGCAATGCAGATATACATCCAGATAGCCTTGTTCCCGTTGCTATGCAATTTCAAGCCTTCTGCAACCGAATAGTTAACAAGCGCAGTCACCCCCACTTGGAGGTTCATGAGTAGTTATTTAGTTGGTTTTTCCAGTAGGATAACTATGCTTATAACCCATATTAGGGGACTTTTGAGTCCACTTATAACTACCCATGAACCTCCAAGCATGTTATTTGCTTCAGCAGAGCTTTAAACTTGTGCAGACCTCTTTCGAGGATAGCGATTTGGCTCAGCTGGGGCGGCCTCGAGGAAGAGAAGGTGCTGCGGGATCACTTGCGACGAATGGGGCTTAGGGTTTAGGGTTTGGGGTTTAGGGACTGGGTTAAAGGTTTAGCAACATTCGCAGCCATACTTGGCAAACAGGACCTCCGGTAAAGTCCGGCAAAGATCAGCGAAACATGTGATATGGTGGAAGGTGGAACATGCCCCACCCAAAAGCCCCAGAAGCACCATCTTCGAATCCTGCAGAGAAGGATCTCGATTTGGATGGCTGGAACCTATGATTCCCGAGATCCGGTTGTAGGGGCCGACAAATTGTAATATTATTTATCAAGGTTTCCTAATACGAGTGCTGTATAGCACCCTTAGCCAGACCTTAACTTAAGCCCCGGCTTCGTACATTCCAGCCGCATGCTAAGGTCTTCGGCGCAATCGTATCGGCTCTTCAAAACGTGGCATCCCGTTCTGAGCCGAATTCGGTAAGGAAAATCAGCCCGCAAATTTGCCGCCGGGTCCGAGAAATCTAGAAATCTGCCAGCTTGGCACCCGAATCGCGGTATCTTTTCTGCCGGAACCTCCAAAGCTCTAGAATTCAACACTTCACGAAGTCGTCAAATCCAAGCTCAAATGTGCAACATCTCCCCCCCCAAACAAGCCTTCGTAGACCTAGTCGAGTGCCTAGTTGAAACCTTCAGCTTCACATCCTAAACCCGACGCCCCCAATGCTAATACCTAAACCCTGCCATATCTAGTCCCATGACCCTTCAAGTATACCCCCAACAAAGTAGAAGTAGAAGTAGTAGTAGTAGTAGTAATAATAATAATAGTAGTAGTAATAATAATAGTAGTAGTAGTAATAATAATAGTAGTAGTAGTATGTGGTAGTCGGGAGCATGAGGAGCATGTAGTCGTGCCAGCGTAGTAGGAGCAGTAGAAGCAACTCGGTCTGATTTGAGGTTCAGGGTTTAGGGACCGCAGCAATGCACTGATTCACTTTGCAGCTTTTTGCTGAGACTAAGCAGAAGGATACAAGGTGATTTGGGATTTTGCATTTAGTACCCTTATGGGTGGCTGTCAAAATTACAGTCCCTTTTTGAGTCCTTAATAAATACGGCACCGAATATTTAGGACCCCAAAACGGACCATAATTGTGACAACTACCCTTATCATTTCCTCCTGCAAGTAAGCCGAAATCCAAGGCATTCTAAGTTTGAAGCGGGGCGGGGGGTCGGCAGCACAGGCCACGGAACCAGACACGGCTACATTCGTTGACGTGATGTATGACCGCGTGCACCTTGGACATAAAACCCTAAGGCTCCATGTGCCCATATAGTAGGTACTTAGGCCTTAAAGGGGTCCCTATATAGTTTCTTTAAGGCCGAAGTACCTCCTAATTATATGTGTACATGGAGCCTTTGGGAAAATTATTCAATCAAGGGCTTCCATGCTGGGACAGTTCCAAGCCAAGGCCGCATGTGAGGTTTCTTTGCTTTCAGGTTTCAGGGCTTGTGGCGCGGTTGTTTTGGGCAGAAATGCTGAAGTGACTTCCATGCTCTCTTCGGTCCTTACATTAAACCCCATGACCCTCAAGACCTGACGTAAAACCCCTAAACCCTAAACCCCAAACCCTACCTTAAAGCTCCTGGACCCTCGTAGTGAGATCCCGGACCCTAGCCCCCAAAGCCGAAACCCTCCCCCAGAAAGCCCAAGACCCTCTTTGGAGCCTTAGGGTAAGCCCTAACCAAAATCCTAGAGCCGTTCGCGTAATCCCCAAGCCCGAAGACAGAACCTGACCTGAACCCTGAACCAAAAGCCCTAAGCTTACCCAGAGGCTCCATAGTAGTTCCTTTTTGGTATTACCTTATAGGGTTCTACATATGAACCCCCAAAAGGAACTACTTTGGAGCCCTAAGCTTAAACCCCAAACCCGACACCTTTAGACAGAACCCTAGAGTAGGCCCCAACCTTAAACCCTAAACCGCAACCTGAAACCCTAACCCCCAGCCTTAGCCTAAACCCTAAACCTTCGACCCGATCAACCCTAAAGCCGACACCTTTACTTAGCCAGAACCTTAAGCCTTAAACCCCCTGAGCCCCAACCTTAAACCGTAAACCCTAACCCTTAGAACCACTACACTTTAAAAAAATACATAACCTTACCCATAGGCCCCAAAGTAGTTCCTTTTTGGGATTACCTAATAGGAATCTATATATGAACCCCAAAACGGAGCTACTTTGGGGCCTCTGGGTAGACCCGATAAATCCTAAACGCTGCAACTTCCATGAGGACCCTGAAGCCGATCCTGCTCGTCTCTCTACTTCTCATGTGGCTGGGACGAGATATTAGGATTTAGGGTTTAGGATTGGAGGGTTTAGGATTTAGGATTTAGGGTTTAGGGTTTAGGGTTTAGGGACCTACCGTCTCTTGTGTAGTTTCGTATCTTGCGTTATCTTGTGGGAGCCTAATATCAAACCGCTTGAACAGACTACAATGGAGACTAGAGGTGGAGTTAATGGTCTTTGTGGGTCTTCCGGTCAGGGTATAGGATGGCAGGTGAAGTCTTAGAGTAAGGTTATGGTTGAGAGTTGTTGGTGTTGTGGCTGACTTTTGTGTTTTGTTGAGCGGGGCGTCTAAGGATTTAGGTTGAGAGTTGAGGTGAAGGGCTCGTGGTTTAGGTTTAGGAGTTTAGGATTTCTTGTTTTTGGTTCAGCATGTAGGATTTCAGGATATTTCGGGTGCGTTTGTCCACATCCAAGCCAGGTTCACTGGAGCACTCCAGACAGTTACGCCTCGACTGATGCAAGAGGTCGCCTTTTTTGTTTGCAATATCGGTTCAGGTGGCTTTGGGGTTTCCCGGGGGGGGGACATGAATGAGGGCTGAGTGGTTCAGGATTTTGGTTGTGGGTAAGGGTGTAAACAGGTTTTGGGGTGCAGGCTTGAGGAGCTTGTGGGTTGGATTACTTATATAGAAGCCTCGATACAAGAAAACTGCGACCTTGCTATTCTACCTGGTATGTCCTCCAATGGCCAGCCCGGAACCTGAAGGTCCGACCCGCAGGGGGCCTGCAGTAAAGCAGAACCGTAGCCGAACCTGCCACCTCGAACCACAAACGCTGAACCCCAACTGAAGGGCCGCAGGGCGCTCGTGTTATCAGATAAGGCCCCAGTTTGGGGATTTGGGTATTTCAAGGAGAATTCTGCTGTATGAAAAGAGGGCTTGCATGGATCGCGTAAGCTTCGTCTAAAGGCATCGGGCTGTCGGGTTTCAGGGTTTGCGGTTTGAAACCGTCTTTGAATCCGTTGCTGTGCTTTGCGTCTTAAGCTCGCATCGTTGCTGGCATCATCTTTGGTAGATTCAATATGTAGTGTTTCGTCAGTGGGCGTCCATAGTGCTATCATGAGTGTTGAGTTGCTACTGCAATTTCATTCTCGACATCATTCGAACCAGTGCCACTGCAGCTGCAACCAACACTCTATTGACAATGCACCCACACCCTAAACCGAAACCCTTTGTCGCAGTATTCGCGGTGTTCAACGCAACCCTCTGCATGTTTCCGTCGTTTCGCAAGCGCAGGATTACAATTTCACTGTGGTCATGTCTGGCATGGCGTGGATGTTTCAGACCTGGCCCTCTGTGTTCCTAGTTGCTGAGCTGCATTTTTACTGATTCCTGTTCAGGGATTCAGCTTTGGGTGCTTAAGCTTAAGTGTGCAGCTAGCTCGAAGTATTCAGTTGAGGTCACGGAAGAAGTCGCTCAGTAGCACCGACCTGACCGACCTGCCCTCAAGAGCAAGACCTTGGTCATTGTTAAACTGTAGGTTTTGCTTGGTAGTGCTCAGGGTTTGCTGCCGGCCGGAACCATCTTGTACGGCTGAGGGCCAGATTCCCTGTACCCGAATTACCTCTACCGCATAATGCGCCCTTTCTTACACAATTCAAAACATGTCCCTATCCACACTCTAAGCCCTACACTCTACACGCCTACACCCCTGGATAAACCCAATCTTGTACAAAACTTGAACCCCTTTACCCAATGTAAATCCCGAACCCCGCCCTGAACAGGCCTGATGAACTTTCTACCCCATGAATACCCCAGCTTATACGAATACTGTCAAGTTTTGCATTGAAAGGCTTGGCAACCCCTCAACCTCAAACCCTAAACCCCCAAACCCTCATCCCCAAAACCCTAAACCCTCAACCTCAAACCCTAAACCGGCCCAGCCATGGGAGTTCATGACATCAGGCTTCAGGAGTCAGGGTTTCATGAGATTCCTGATATATTCTCTGTCGTAGGCTTGCTAGGGTCGGGAGCTGTTTCGGGGGTTTGTTGGGTTTAGGATTTCTGGTCGCACCTCAGAGCCACTGTTTCTCCTTTTTTGGCTCAGGCCATCCGTCCCCGACCCGCACATCTGTAAGCCTCGAGCTCAAGCCCCAGAGGCTCCGCAGCTCCTGTATACATCGTAAACGTCATCCCGAGCTTCTGCACGCCCAAGGGGCACCTTGAGTTTGAAGTCACGGTTGGAAAAAACACCTCGAATTTCAGCATCCTTCGACCGACGGCGCGTAGATCCCATCCCTAAACCTTCAGCTACCTTGTGCTGCCGAGATCCTTCAACCTCGAAGCTTTGCAGACATGGCACTCCTGACCCCGAAAGGGCAAATGGTCAAAGCCCTAAGGTCTTTGCTTTGGGTCCCGTCGCCCGCTTCATCGGCTTTCCATTGCTGATGGTGGGCTCGCTGGTCGTGGCAGGCGTTGATGGTGCTTCATGGGTTGAGCGCACTATAGGTTTCTACTGGCTAAGGTGCCCTAAACCCTAAACCCTAAACCGTGCTGGACTTTAGAACTCCACTTTGAGAGGGTCGTTTTTGTTGGGGCTCTTGAGGCTTTGGGGCATTTGGGGATCAGGAGTTCATGAGTATTTCATAGGGATCCTTAGGGGTGTAGGGGGAGGGGGGGTAGGGGGCCTTAAGGCCCATAATAAGGACTAATAAGGCCTATTTAAGGAAATATAGTCCCCTACACCCCTCCCCCCTACACCCCTAAGGATCCCTATGAGTATTGGGGTTCGTGGTTCGGGGTTCATTTAGGGCCTTGGGTTTAGGAGACTGGGCGGGTTGGAATCCTAGTGGTCGAGGAGGTAACCTTTAACCTTTTTGGGGTAGTATAGGCCCCAAAGTAGTTCCTTTTTGGGGTTACCTAATAGGAATCTATATATGAACCCCCAAAAAGGAGCTACTTTGGGGCCTCTGGGTAGTCCCTATATAACCCCTATATACCCAAAAAAGGAGATTTTTAGTTCCCCATGATACCCGACAAGTAGGGAATGGAGTACCAGGATCGAAAGCCACTCGGGGCGGTTCGGGGACTAAGAGGGTCTTTAGGGGACTTAGTAACTAGGTAGTAAGTAGACTTAGTAAGTAGGTCCTTTAAAGGGCTCTATAGGGGTACTATAGGGTTTAGGGTTTAGGGTTCAGGGGCTTAGTAAGTAGGTAGTAAGTAGACTTAGAAGTACCCTAAAAGGGACCCTAATTGGGGATATGGTACTTATAAGTCCCTAAAATAACTTACTTAGCCTATTGGAGAACTTTAAACTTTTTGGCTTCATATATTTGGTCTAGCTGAAAAAGTTTGAACTTTGTTTGGGCCTGGTTATTGGAGAAGAGAGATAACCAGTCACTAAGCCCCCCGACCCTCCAAGGAGTTCTCCTCAGAGATGCGAGGTTCGCTTTGAAGATTCGAGGATTGAATCTGAGGGCTTCGTGGTTCGAGGTCAAGAGAGCTTAATGTTGGGGCTTAAATAATAAATACCTATACCATAATTCTGGGGGTTCCTTTCTATAACCAATTCTAGTATAATGGGCCCCAAAACCCTACTATGATGATTAAGGCCCCTATATTACGTCAGGATTTAAACACCCTAAACCCTCAACGCCCTTTAAAGTTCAAAACCCTAGATCCTAAAGACCACTAATTGGGCCGAGGTGATTCAAAGGCAGCATCTTGGGTTGGGAGTTTCTTCAAGGTAGGAGTTCTTGTATTCAGAAGGAAGGAAGGATCATCGCCTTTGGGATCTACACCAGCATTCCTTAAACCCTAAGCCCCCTAAGCAATAAACCCTAAAATTCCCTAAACCCTAAACCCTATATAAATCAGGTCCCCTACTGAAAACCGCTGTCACCTAGCCCAGAGCGGAGGCTGCGAGAACCAGACCCGCATCCATGGGGCTCCTCCTTATCAGAAGGGTTCCAATATCCCTTTTTTAGGAATACCTAGGG